AAAATAAAAATAATATTAAAATTTTAATATTTTTATAAATACTATAGAGATTTTATTATAATTTGAATTATAATTTTTATAATATTTTAATTTAATATTAAGTGAATAAAGTTGTCATGAATTATTGGGCTTGTGAGTTATTTTCACTTTTAGACCCATTATTAGAGATCAAGTCGTACTCAACTAGCTTAACAATTCAACAATTAAAACAACACATTTAAGTATTTCATTCTTTCCTCCGAAATTTAACAACAAAGCTTTCCACTCCTTCCGCCTCAACCCTCTCTCTCTCCCCACGCACCCTTCGCTCTTCCTCGCGCGGCCCTCCCACACTCGCCGCTCCTTCCTCGTCAAAGCCTCCTCTGTAACTAACCTTCTCATTTTACTCGCCCTTTTGTTTCGCCCATAATGTTTTATTGTTGTTGCTAAATTTTTGTTTTTTTTAATGAACAGAGTGAGCTTCCGCTTGTTGGAAATACTGCACCGGATTTTGAAGCCGAGGCTGTGTTTGATCAGGAGTTTATCAATGTAAAATTGTTTGCTTTTCATTGTCTTGTTGTTTCATTTTAAGCTAAAATAGGTTTTAGGTTTCTTAATTTTGGGTCAGAATTGGTCTTTGTCTTCGTCTTGATTCCTCTGCTTTAACTGTGCAAGCGCTAAGAAAGAGAATTGGTGAGTGAATTTTGTTACTCAATCTAGTAAGAGGGATGAAATTCACCCATTATAAAAAAAATACAAGTTAAAAGGACTAGGACCAATTTTACGTGAAATTGAGGAACTAAAACACGTTATATTATACCTCTGGTTCAGTAGTAACATCTTCTTTTCTTATTTTATTGAGTTTTTAATTTTTTTTTTATGGTGTGTGATGAGTAGTTTGGTGTTGGGAAATGGACTTATTAGGTAATACTTCACGTTGGGTATTAATTGGAGGTTTGTTATTATAATGTTTGTTGATGGATTTTTGCCTAGGCTATATCATACATTTTATAGAGGATATCCATTTATATTCAGTTATTTTATTGGTAGTGTAAAATATTTTTACACTCTTATATGTAAGCTAATAAAAAATTATTATTAGTATTTTTTATATTTTTTTTAATAAAATAAAATTTATTGATTTTACCAAGTTTGGTTGGTTGGGTAGAATGTAATTGTTGTAAACCAGTTTGACTTTTATTGGAAAAAAAAAATTTATCAATTTTAGTATTATATTCCATTTTATCGAAATTTTTGAATAATATATACAAAGTTGAAAATTTATGACTGTTATTACACATTTTATTGATAAAAAAGAATATAGTATAATGAATAAATTATCATGTGACTTAAGCATATGAAAGATTCATCTTTAGATTCATATGTATTAGAAAAGAGTGCGTTGAAAGAAGTTAAGTCTTTAATAAAATTTAACTTAAAAAAGAATATTTTCTAGCTCTTATAGGGTTTATATTGACAGTATCACATTTTACAGTTTAACAAATAAATAAAGTTTTGTAATCATTTATCTTGATTGATTGGGGACAGATGGAACTTGGGGAGTTTCGTTTTGTAGGTTTGCTTGGCTATGCTTGTAGTTGTGTTATGATTTTCTTTTCAAAGTAGATGTTACTTGGGATGGCAGTTAATCTGCTTGCGGGGACCACTTTTTTTCTTCTTCTTTTTTTTATAGATTATATGGATTTCTGTGAATGTACTGTCAGCGTGGTTAGGAAGTCTGTTTCGATTCAATCAATGCTTTGCCATGTGCAGTAAGTTTCTGTTGAAGTGAGTATGGCTAGTGCCAAAAAAGAAAATCGTAGATCTGGGATGTTTAGTTTTGAGAGGATTGAAATGCTTGCCAAACATTCTGTTAAACATTTATTTTTAACTTTTTTTCAATAATCGATAACAGGCTGAGTGTAAGGTGTGATTTAATGATAAACAGAAATTCACAGGTTAGTGGACTTTTTTTACCAGGGTATAATAATCAGGTTGAGATATATGTTTGTTTTGTTTGTCTGATTTAACTTATTTTAGAAAAACACGTTAAACCAGGGCCGCCGCATAACCTAAAATACTTATTTTGAACTCAAGGCACCAAAAATAGCATTTCTTTAATTTTAAGAGTTGGAACGTGAAAGGGTAATGATGTGCTTGTGTTATATTTTTGTCTCAACAAGAACAAACTTTGAATGTCAAGTAACATATTATAGAGGGGGTAGCATTTCTGTTTTACACTTGTTAATTCTTGAATGAACTAAGCGTGTTCATTTTTGTGATAAATGTTTTGATGCATTTTGTAATGTGTTCATTTTGTAATGTGTGTTTCTGAGATAAGTTATGGAGGCATTACTTGTTTGGGTCTAAATGTGAGGTATTTTAGTGATCATAAGAGCCTTAAGTACTTCTTTTACCAAAAGGAATTGAACATGAGGCAGGGGAGATGGTTAGAGTTTCTTAAGGATTATGATTTTCAGTTGAATTATCACCCTGGCAAGGCTAATGTTGTATCTGATGCTTTGAGTAGGAAATCTTTGAGAGTGTCTTCTTTGATGATTAGGGAATTGCACATGATTGAAGAGTTTAGGAATATGAACTTAGGGTGTGAGTTAACTTCTAAGAGTATTAAGTTAGGAGCCTTGACAGTAAAAAATAGCTTGATAGATGAGGTTAGAGAAGGTCAGAAGATAAATCTTTTCTTATTGAATCAAGTTGAGAAGTTGAATCAATGTAAAGAGTGAGTTTAGATTTGGAATGGATAGAGTGTTGAGATTTAAAGATAGATTGTGCATTCCTAGTGTGCCAGAGCTTAAGAGAGCAATCTTAGAAGAAGGTCATAAGATTAACCTTAGTATCCATCCAGGAGCCACTAAGATGTACCAAGACCTTAAAAAGATGTTTTGGTGGCCTAAGATGAAGAGGGAAGTGGAAGAATTTGTGTATGCCTGCCTAGTATGTCAGAAAGCTAAGGTAGAACATCAAAAACCTTTAGGTTTGATGCAACCTTTAGAAGTGCCTGTGTGGAAATGGGATAGCATCTCCATGGATTTTGTAGTTGGGTTACCTAAGACTGTGAAGAACTTGGATGCTATATGGGTCATTGTGGATAGATACCCTTTGGAGAGGTTAGCTAAGTTGTACATTAGTGAGATTGTGAGATTGCATGAAATTCCTACTAGTATAGTGTCTGATAGAGATCCTAGGTTCACCTCTTGATTTTGGGAGAGCTTGCATAAGGCTTTAGGCACTAAGTTTAGATTAAGTTCAACCTATCATCCCCAAATAGATGGCCAAACTGAGAGAACTATACAATCTTTGGAAGACTTGTTGACGGCTTGCATCTTAGAACATGGGGGTAGTTGGGATAGTTTCTTACCTTTAATAGAGTTTACGTACAACAATAGCTACCATTCCAGTATTGGGATGACACCCTATGAGGCTTTGTATGGTAGGAGATGTAGAACACCTTTGTGTTGGGCAGAACTGGAGAGAATGCTATCTTAGGACCTGAGATAGTTCGACAAACTACTAAACAGGTTAAGTTAATTCAAGAAAGGATGAGAGCAGCCTAGAGTAGGCAGAAGAGTTACAATGATAAAAGGAGAAAGGACCTTGAGTTTAAAGAAGGTGATCATGTATTCCTTAAAGTTACTCCTTGGACAGGAATAGGCAGAGCATGCTCTGCGTTTCATTGGTCCTTATCAAGTTCTTAAAAGAATCGGTGAAGTAGCCTATCAAATTGTCTTACCTCCAACTCTTTCGAATCTTCATAATATCTTTCATGTTTCCCAACTCAGAAAATATGTCCATGATCCTTCTCATATTATTGAGTCCGATAACATTTAGTTGAAGGATAATCTCACCTATGAAATGGTCCCTTTAAGAATTGATGATACGAGGGTGAAATAACTGAGAGGAAAGGAAATTTCTTTGGTTAAGGTTGTTTGAGGAGGAAATTTTGAAGAAAGTGCTACATAAGAATTAGAAAGCAAGATGCATGAAGTTTATCCATTTCTATTTTCAGTTAAATTTTGAGGACGAAATTTCTTAAAGGAGGGGAGAATTGTAACACTTAATATTTTATTATTTTATTATTTTATTATTTTTTTTAGGGCCATTCCAAAAATGGAACGGGTTATTCTAAAAATGGAACGGGTCGTTCCAAATGATAAAATATGTTATTTGGTGTTGTTTCAGAATGGGCCTTGGAACGAGCCATTCTCCAAGTAGAACGGGATGTTCTGCTTGTAGAACGGGTCTTTTCGCTTGTAGAACAGGTCGTTCCAGAGGGAGAACGGGCCATTCTGCTGGGTTTAGAATGGGCCATTTTGGTTTGGGAACGGGCAGTTCCAGTTCAAAAATTTACGTAGATTTTCAGGGTCCAGAAACCGTTTCACTTTTGGAACGGGCCGTTCTGAGTTAGGTCAGGTTGAAGGCTATAAATAGGGGGCTAGGGTTAGAAGGAAATCACAACTTAAGAAGAAGGAATTCTAGAGAGAGAGAAAGAGAGAGAAGGAGAAAGAAAGAGTGAAAGAAAGGAAGAGGAATCTAGAGGAGGAGATTCTACCCTAGTTTTCAATGAGATTCTGCTATAGTTCAACTTCTGCTTATCTATTTAAGGGGGAGTGGGAAACCTCGTTTGGGGGTGTAGGAATAATTATTAGATAGCATGATTGTTGGATTGACTCCCAATTCCTTGCCTGTTACTTGTTTCTTTGAATATGCAAAGTGTTTGTATTCTGCTTTATTTTTTGTTTGTTTTACTTTATCCCAATATTTGTGGTAATAAATAAATGTGTAATTAATGCTAAAAATGAATAAGTTTTAATATAAATAAATATACTCTCTGTGAATACTTATGCGGACATTATGAGGACCTTATTATGACATGACTATATGAAATATGTACCCATGACATGTGATCTAAGAATGGACCATTGGACTATTGGACTATTGGACCATTGAACCATTTGACTATTGGACTATTGGACCACTCAACTATTAGACTATTGGACTATTAAACTGTTGAACTATTGAGATAATCATTGATTATGAGAATATGAAAAATGATGATATGTTATATTGCATAAAGTTATGTAGATATTGAGTCATTAAATGTGTAACATGCATTATATGTATTTTAGGGTCACTAGTGATATAACAAGTTAACAAGGTGAACCTTAGGGTCACCAGTGATGAAATATGAAACTTCCGTATGACGCCACTTGCATACTTTTATGAGTTGAGTCCATGATATTATTGCATGATATATGAGAATATATATATATATATATATATATATATAT